CTGGACCTGGGCTAGGACTGGGTCTGGGGGTTCCCGGAAGTCGGGAGCCACAATTATATACTTTTCAACATGAATAGCAAAACTTAATATTCAGTGAACTTCTATATAAATCTTATGCTAAAATAGATGATAAGCAGCCAGAGACAGACAGACAGATCTAGAAAGGTTACTTTTTTTTATCATCCATCCGATTGGTTCATCTATATCTTTAGTTGCTTTTTCTTTAACGTGTTTTATGTTCTGAAACAGTCTACAGCTTTTGCATATTTCAGAGAAGTTGCACATCCTTGTAGATATAGTTATTCTTTTTTAATGGCAACTTTGATAGAATTTTTAAAAATAATTACATGTATGAAAACTACATTTAGTACTTTTACCTCTTTACTAGAATTCTAGGGCTTTAAAAAACGTATCCTATTATAACATTTTTTAGGCGATTGTTAAAGTATATATGTATTTTTCTCAATGTATTTCATTTCCTAATTTTGTATTTGAATTTGTTTATGACTCTCATTTACTCAGTTTTTGTTTGGGGCCTGTACCAGAATTTTCCTTAATGTTTAAAAAAAATCAAATTTTTCAGGAGAATAATCTTATTCCTCATGGGATATTCATGCCTGATTGTCCCTTTCTTTGTTTCTCTCATAACTTGCTGAATATTTATTCTATGGCTTAAAAACTGCAGAACAACCCTCTGTCATTCTGATGCTAACAAAAAAATATTGTTCAGACTATGTTTTCCATGAAAATGTTCTTTTGTTAATTAATTTTACTGAGAAAAAATTGCAATGTGACAGCTTCAAAACAGGTTGGTAGGAGAGTTACAACAATGAATACATTGCATGTTGTTGTCTTTGTAGCAGTCATTCATAGCACAAGATGCAGACATGGTAACCTGTCTCAACACTATTAGTGCAGATCTTTCTTCTTATTGAATTAGGAGAAAGTAGCTATATATCTATCCTAACTATTTTGTACATACAGATACAAAATTGTCCTTCATCTCTATCACCTTCTTTTTCTTCAGTTTTGTCAGAGATGGGTACTCCGTTGCTATCCAAATATTGTAGGTGCATGAATTCAGCAAAATATTCCAATATAGTCCAGTATATATATATCCACAGGACTGGCAATGTCCGAATCTGATTATGGGGCCACAGAGGAAAGTGATTGATGATGTAGAGTGTGCCTAAAGAGAGTCACATGGAGAGAAAACATTCTCTCAGGCTTTCACAGAGAGCACATTGGCCAAGCAATGGCCATGACTCACTCTCATAGCTGACAATGACAAAGGATCTACAAAGTGCAATACAGGGTTTCGGGATAAGTCCTGAGGGGACTTGACCGACTGTGTCAGATACAAAAGTTACATTTTTTGTTATATAGGTCTTGCTTTATCTTGGTCTTAACCATCCAGCAGAAAAGTGTGGAAACTAGGTACGAAAAATGAAGCCACGTTAATATGCTGAGCTGTGGAAAAAGCTCTTGATACACAGCTTCTGTAGCAAGCTTCAGTCCCCAACAGTCAGAGGAGATTGCACTCTGTCAGTAGTACATTTTTCTTCATGGGAATCTCAGTAGAGCAGCTTGGAGCAAGTGTCGGAGCTGTGACTCCCCAGCAGGAGGCTGGCAGGAGCCCTCACCTACTGTGGCGGTCTGGCAGAGGGGATCACGGTTGAGGGAGGAGGGAATGAAATCAGGAAAACAAGGCCGGGAGGACTGAACTGCGGGGCCAGTAATTAAATATATTTTGCATCAAGCTTATATATAGAAAGTCTCAAGCATGTACCCAACATTTATCCTAGTTAACACTAAGCTTTCTTTGCTTTTCTGGGGCAGAATAGATTGTCAAGGCCAAGCTGAGACGCAGAAGACCGCACGTTCCGAAACACTGAGTCCATAGCTGGGCCCTTGGCTTGAACTGCGGATAGAGGATGTCGTGTGTGTCGCCACTTTTAATTCCTTATCAGATTGTTCCTTCTGCAATCTGGCTTCCAACAGCCCATCTACATTGTGGCTCATGGCTTTATTCTTTAAGCTAAATCTAAGTTTTCACTTGAGAGAATTTCAGCTTTATCTTTATCTTTAGTTATCAAAGAAAATTATATACATTCACAGATGCCATGAAATACGGCGCTATATATTTACATTGCTTAACAGTTAAATCACTGCGCGGCGGCCAAACCTGGGCTGCAGCTTCCTAACTTTTCCCAGAAGGTCGCTGTCAAGTTTAGTCACTCTGTGACCCTCGTAGGTCCCGTTCTTCCCACCTCTTTCACCCCCACCTCACACTCCCAGGAAAGATGAAATCATGACAACACACCACCACCACCCCATCCCTCCACTGCCACTCCGGGCACACGCGGCATCTCTTAGCTTCTCTTTCTGCCTCTCCTAAGCTGGCCCTTACTGGGGTCCATTTCCCCAAAACCGCCAGCTGCTCCTGATGCCCGAGCCCCGGCGCGGTGCGTGCCCTCCCCCTCATGGCCTTCCCGCTACCTTCTCAGCGCATTGCCTTCCCTCTGTAACAGTAAAAAGGTGTCGATAACATAATGGGGTAAATAAAAAAATAGTTACATCAAGTGGATTAATGTATCCATCACCCAGTACTTCTTCACCTGCATGAGCGTGGGGAGCAACATTGCTTGGGAAAGAGTTAAATAATATTAAGGAAATAACTTTTTCCTAAGAGAAAGTCTTTAAGCAAATGGATGTTTGTTAGTATTGAATACTATATATATATTTCAATGAATATATTATTTTTCTGCTTATAAACTGTGTGGAGGCCAAGGAGATAGTTCAGCAGAATACACCCCTGCCTGAAACACTGTGAGGACATTTTAAAATATCACATTTTCTAAAGATCTACATAGTGTAATTCAATGCACAGATTTTCACTCTGAATATATATATGTAGCATGTATATATATGATATAATATATATATATATATATATATATATATATCAAGTTCATGTTGACAGTACAGCAAATATAACAGAAGGATGAAACAACTCTTCCGGGATTCTTGGAAGGTCACTAAGCTCTTTTGTAAGAAGTTCACCCACGTGATTCATCTAATTCTAATTACCTCCTAAAAATCAATCTTCTGATACCGTTATATCCATATTTAGCTTGCAGTTATATGAGTGTGGGGAAAGAACATAAGCATTCAGGTGGCAAATGCTACTGGACTGGACTGCAACATGGTCATTGACTCGTTTCTCTGAGGACCTCTGTGCTCTCTGTGCAGGCTCACACCCAACAACTACCAGAACTACCTGGCCTTCGTATTTGCCATAGAAGAGATCAACAGGAATCCTCACCTTTTGCCCAACATCTCTCTGGGCTATGAGTTCCATAATTTCATTTCCAGTCATTGGACGATACTAGAGAATTCCTTCACTTTGCTCACAGGACAACATGAGACCCCCAGTTACGTGTGTGGGCGACAAAGCAAGTGTGCAGCAGTCCTGACAGAAATGCTGGGAGGAACCTCGGCTCAGATTGGGCCGCTGCTGGAGCTCTACAGATTTCCACAGGTGAGGGCTCAGGGGATAGGCAAACATGAAACAGCAGCAGCAGTGCTGAAACTACAAGGAGCAAAGAGATGCCAAAAGGGGAGTGGTATTAGGCATCTTTCCAGATGTTTAATGCACCAGAGTTTAAACACAGAGATTTACTGGGTTCAGCAAAATGTCTCTTTCTTCATTGACGAGAGAGGACAAAGATAAGTCCTGGATGTCTGAATCTGTTCTTTTACCTTGTATAAACATACATAAGGACTGAGGTGGTTAGAAAGACTGGACCACAGGTCTCCTGGACAACCACCATTGTTCCTCAGCATGCTTCAGGTCAACTGTGCTCCACCAACATTCTTCATTATTTCCTTTCTCTTTTAGGTTACCTTTGGTGCTTTTGATCCTACACTGACTGACACTGGCCAGTTTCCTTCTCTCCACCAGGTGGCCCCAAAGGACACTTACTTGGCCCTTGCCATGGTGTCCTTGTTGGTTCATTTCCGCTGGACCTGGGTGGGTCTGCTCATCACAGAAGGCCATAAGGGTCTTCAGTTTCTCTCAGATATAAGAGCTGAGATGGACAAGAACAGAGTCTGTGCGGCCTTTGTGAAAATGGTGTCCACTGGGGCTGTGTTGTATATCTCAGCCACACAGAAACATGATATCCTGACCGCAGATACAGTATCTACCAATGTGGTGGTCATTTACTATGATAATGATAGCGGAAATGATGTAAAATATAATATAATGCAACACTTAGTGACATGGAAAGTCTGGGTGACAAACTCACAGTGGCATGCTGACCTGGCTGGGAGAGATTTCATACTCGACCCATTCCATGGGATTCTTGTTTTTTCACACCATCACAAAGAAAGTTCAGGTTTCAAAGATTTTTTCCAGGCAGCTACCCCTTTCAAATACCCAGAAGACACTTACCTTTTTATGTATTGGTCCAAAAACTTCGATTGCTCATTCTCTGAGTCTGACTGCTCCTTGAAGAACTGTGCCCCTAATGCTTCTCTGGCTTGGTTGCCTCTGAATCGTTTTGACACAGCCATGAGTGACAGGAGCTACAATATATACAACGCTGTGTATGCGGTGGCCCATGCCCTCCATGCAATGCTTTTTGAAGAAGTACAAAGGTGGACCATGAGAAATGGAGAAGTGATGAGGTTTCCCCCCTGGCAGGTAATGTGTCCTCCCTTGGATGGCAGGCAGTGTCATCAAGGTGCCTCTCTTAAGTATTCTATGTGTTTCACCCAAGAATATTAGAACCCTTTCCCCAAAATACCAGACACTGTGTGTCACACTTACTGGTAAGGAGCTCACTCTCAAGCTGAGTTGAAATGATCCTCAATCAAGTATACGTGGCAAGGAGCAGGAAACAGGCGGGAAGCTCCTAGCTTCTGTCCCCAGGACATGAATGCTTTGCCCATGTGAACACATTCCACAGCTCTGTTACAGGGCTACTGGAAACCTGTAGTCATTTATGACACTAAAGGGTGTTAAACACAACCGTGCACATTTATAAATTTTTCATTTAATTCTGCAAACTCTTCTGATATTGATGAACTCATTTTGTTGATAAAATGCTATGGGAATAGTAAGATGATGGAAGTTATGGATGCTCGAAGCTTCGATTCCACAGTTGAGCTGATCCCACAGTTTTTGCCTAAGCAGTACACTTTATTTAAATGGGCTGGCAAAGACTATGTTTTTCCTGGGGCTGACCTTTCTGAAACATGGTGGCATTCTAGTCCTTAGACATTCCATGTACCCCAATGTAGTAAATACCAGCATTAAAGTTGCTTTAGGTAAATGGCATTAAAGACACTTAGGAACTTTCCCCCACCCAGATTTTCTGTCTTTCTCCTGGAACCCTGTTCACTCAGGGTGATGTGTCTCTTTCAGCTACATCCCTACCTGGAGAAGGTCCAATTGGACAATCCTGCTGGAGACCCAGTGAACTTGGATGACAGAAGGAAAGTAGATTCAGAGTATGACATTCTCAACTTTTGGAATTTTCCAGAAGGCCTGAGACTTAAGGTTACACTAGGAACATTTTCTATTCATGTTCCACATGGTCAGAAAATGACTTTATCCGAGAACAATATAGAGTGGGCCACCGGAATTACAGAGGTATGTGGTACCAAGTCATGGCACACTTACTTAAGCACAAGCAAGCTAAACACTGGCATAGGTTTGTGTCCCTAATTTTATTCCTGCAATGATCACATGTGGAAATTTAATAACTAAGTTTTCAATTGGAAATAAAATTGTTCATAAGCTTTCTGATGAGTGGGAAAGAAATGCATTTACTTATGTTTTTGTAAATATGTGCATGTTTCATACTATGAAGTAGAACTGCATGCAATTATATAGTTTTGCTTATGTATGTATACAAACTAATTTTATCCTCTAGCTCCACGGAGATTAGTAAAATTCTAGAAGGTTACTGTCCTGTATGTTTTCCTCAGACTCCTCGCTCTGTATGCAGTGACAGTTGCCATCATGGATTTAGAAAGAGCCCTCAGGAGGGAAAGCCTGCCTGCTGTTTCGACTGCACCTCTTGCCCGGAGAATGAGATCGCCAACGTCACAGGTGGGAGCACTTCCTGTGGACACACCCTCAGCTTATTGTATATGAACTCCACCTACCCGGAAATGGAAAGTATCTTGGAGAGGGCACCAGTGGGGAAATCCTTCACTTATCACATTATCTGTTACACCAAGTGCTATCACCTTGGTGGAAAACACATGCTTGACTTTGAAATGCACTCAAATTCCATTTCCTGTTAGGCCATTCTTAATTGTGTCTGTTTTCTGCACTGCTAGGAATTGAACCAGAATGTGATCTGTCCATGAGCTGTGTCCCCGCCATTGTTTTGTATTATTTTGAGACAGAACATCACCAATTGACCGTTGACTGCCTCAACAATTTAATAGCCCTGCCTCAGCCCATTAACTCTAGCGTAATGGTTAGATACTACCAAATCTGCCTACATTGATTTATTTTTCCAGTCCCATTAACCGCATTATTTTCTTGAGACAGCCCCTTGCCCCTGCCCCACGGCTTCTATCTTCCATCTTCATCATGCTCCTTAACACCAAGCATGAGTAAACCCAACTCCTTACAAGCTTTGCGACCACTGCAAGACTACAGTCAGACAAGGGCAGGCGCACTTCCTTTCCCAGTAGATGACAGAGTCTTAACCAAAGCAGGTGCTCGGAGAGACTGAATTTGATCAGAGCTGGAGGGATGTGCTTGGTGCACAATGTGCTCACAACACGGCACCAGCCAGGTCCCAGGACTGGGTGCATCCCAGTTCTCTAGCGTGCACAGGAGGGTGCAGAGAAACCCATGGCATGTGTCAGAGTCTGTACGCAGAGCAAGGGTGGGACAAGTGATAACATCTACATTTCAGGGTGATGTCGTGGGCATTTGTACAGAGCTAGCAGTATTAGTACTGTATCAGAATAAAAAGAGGTGGCATAAACAATTTTAGAATTAAAAGAAGGGGCCAAAATCGCATGCTCCCCATTAATGGATATTCAAATATCCTAAAAGACAGTCCTAGCCCAGGTCCGGTGAGTGTGCGGGGAGTTTCCTGCTACCCTG